CAGCCACAACCATCATCGTTGCAACCGTAGCCGTCGTAGTCGTAGCCATCACCGTCGTAGTCGTAGCCGTCGCAATCGTAGCTGTCGCCGTCGCAATCGTCGCTGCCATCGCAGCCGTAGCCATCGCCGTCGCTGCCGCAGCAACAACAGTAATGATCTGCTCTTGCCCTACTCACGAAGCCTCTCGCTCGTAAACTATTTACGGAACACCATCTTGTGGGGGCATAATAGCATATAAGATTTCCTCAAACTATACGAGAAAATCTCTTTATTTTGTCGAGGGACTAACTTCAACCCATCCAACCCCAACAAGTTCTACTCTTATCTATGTCCCTCCCGTTTCTATTATATTTGGACGGTAGAATATTATGGAGCATAACAAGATCCAAATGCCTCATGCACAATCGATCTAATCATCGAAAGAGGAAACTACAAAGCAAAAGAGGATCACCGAGATCAATGTGACTCTCTTATGATACCCAAGTCATATAATGTTCCGTTTTAGGAATAGAGCCTATTGGACATAAAACGATGGATATTATCTTCATCCTTTATCTGAGTCCCTCTAATTTCTATTATATTGATATCATGATATTATCTTCATAGAGATAAACTTACTACATAGGAGAGTTCTTAATGAAAAGAAAGCATCTATTGGCTTCATAAAATTTTCCAACAGATCATGTTCGTGGACAATGAAAAGAAAGCATGTGAATGGCTTTTACCCCATTAATGTTTGTGACTTCAGTCAATTACAACCATCTATTGGCCCAAAATTGACTCACATATCAATGTGAGTCAATTAATGTTAGCTTATATCACACATATCAATTTCTATTAACACTTACACCATCTATATTATATCTCCTATATATTAGTTTAGTGATGAACTAAAAAGGATTTGTTATACTATTATCTCCTATATTTTCTCCTTTCTCCCGGAAGTCACCTGTCGAGCAATTTTCCGAGAAGAACTTTTCCAAACTCTCATGTCGAAATTAGGTACACATTGAGCAGTGCAACGATGCATCCGTCACGATAAAAGCAGAAGCGTTTTATTACTGAAGCAAAGCAACAACACACGACATAGATGGATGGATAGATAGGACGGATAAAGAGAAGACGACAGGCGAACACAAACACATTCGGATCACACCATCGTCGCTAATTTCCCACCGGTTTCTTCGATCGCCCACTGCTGCGACGGCTCTACTTTGGGGACGCCATCAAGCCAGCGACAGGAGTCGGCCTCGCAGGCCTTGGGGTCCACATGATCGATGCAAGTGCACTCGTTGAGGACACACTGGCAGTTGGTGCAGGCGGAAGGGCAGGAGCCTTGCCATACGCCGGCGCAAGAGCACCAAGTAAGTGGGTAAATGAGAGGACAGATGCATCTGCAACACGGCCCATTTGCCCTTGCCTCCAACGCACTCAGTACCGCTGCAGCGTGAAGACGGGATTAACGGTGCCCCGATCACCAGCCCAAACATATACACGTTCGCATACATATTTATCTACCTACCTCTGGCGAGGGAGTGCGGACGGGGTGTGACACGGGCTGCCGAGGAGTCGGTGGCGAAGAAGGCCAACAACGTCACGAGCAGCGTCACAAGTAGAAGAGACGATGCTTCACCTCGTTTGCCTCCTCCAGCCATTGCTTACCGCTGAGCTTTCTATCACAACGCACCTGTGCAAGTATGAGGTAGTGCGTTGTCCCTCCGCCCTCCTCTTGTCCTATTTATAGTGCCACGATGCTCCAGCCTTTGATATATGGTGGGACATATTTGTTGATAAGAAGGAATAATGGATGCAGGATTCAATGTGTCTACTCTCTCACTCTCGATTTTACACTTAACCTGGAACGACGATAACAAGATAAAAAGTTGCAGCACCAGATTTGGTGCATTAATTAGTGTAACCCACAATATAATATAATATGAATGCATCCGCGTGATGCAGATGGAAATATTTTTATTTATTTTTACGTGGAGGAGGATTATCCACACGTCCCAAGTGAATTATTGAATCCCATAATTTCAATCGTTGGGATGGCAACGTGAATAATGTGCTGCGAATTTAATTAAAAATTTAATTTATTTAATCATAAGTTATTGTACCACATAATCTAACAGAATAGATTAATGAGTTCCTTCTTCAAAAATAGCTACAATTTAACTTATTAAAGGTTGAGAGTTTAAAACATTTGATATATTTTTAAAAACATCAATTAATTTAATAAAATTTTGATAATATACCATAACGTCTTATGCTCGAATCTTATTTTCATCATTTATCCTTTAAAAAAAACATAAAATACTGCATCTAAGCAAGGGATTGATTGCACACGAGGGTAAGGACGGGCTGCTGATGAGTTGGTGGAGAAGGAGGAGTGCATAGGAAGAAGAAGAAAGACAGTACGTCTTCTGCTTTCTCTAGCCATTTTTGGCTCTGTATCACACACGACGACCTATGTATGTACGAATCGGTACTGTTTGTTGCTTCTCCCTCCCCTTTCCATTTGAAGGGTGGGGACGTGCATCCGCGCGTTGCGCGTGTAATCATTTTTAATTACTCGTCTACAACAGTACTGTTATTTGTTTTGTAATCTGTAATCATATTAATTATAGATATGGCAACTTGAAACTGAGGTATTCAATAATATTAATATCATATGGGAAGTGTGGAGAATCCTCATCCACATAAAAATAATTTACAATTTTCCATGTGCATCGCGTGGATGCATTTATATTGGATTATATGGGACAGTAATTAATGCACCGACGCACCTTCACCGACTCTGGTGCTGCAACTTTTATCTGGGTGTCATTTTGAGAGAGAGAGAGAGAGAGATGACACTATTGATCTCAGCATCCATTATTTATTCTCATGAACACATATATCCGGTTTAATGAAGTCACATGCATTTATGGGACTATAAATGGCTCGAGCATTGTGGCACTATAAATAGGAGACGAGGAGGGAGGAGGGAATACGCACTACCACCTACTTACTTGCACAGGTACGCTGTGATAGAAAGCTCAGTGGTAAGCAATGGCTGGAGGAGGCAAAAGAGGTGCAGCGTCGTCTCTTCTACTTGTGACGCTGCTCGTGACGTTGTTGGCCTTCTTCGCCACCGACGCCTCGGCGGCCCGTGTCACACCCCGTCCGCAATCCCTCGCCAGAGGTAGGTAGATAAATATGCATGCGAACGTGTATATGTTTGGACTGATGATCGGGGGGGCATCGTTAATCCCGTCTTCACGCTGCAGCGGTACTGAGTGCGTTGGAGGCAAGGGCAGATGGGTCGTGCTGCAGATGCATCTGTCCTATGATTTACCCACCTCCTTTTTGCGTTTGCGCCGGCGTGTGGCAAGGCTCCTGCCCTTCCGCCTGCACCAACTGCCAGTGTGTCCTGAACGAGTGCACTTGCATTGACCATGTGGACTACAAGGCCTGCGAGGCCGACTCCTGTGGCTGGCTTGATGGCGTCCCCAAACTCGAGCCGTCGCAGCAGTGGGCGATCGAAGAAACCGGTGGGAAATTAGGGATGATGGTGTGATCCGATTGTGTTTGTGTTCGCCCGTCGTCTTATCTCTCTCCGTCCTATCCATCTATCCATCCATCTACTTATATTCTATCTCGTGTACCGTGCGGTGTTGCTTCGCTTCGGTAATAAAATGCTTGTGCTTTTATGGTGACGGATGCATCGTTGCACCTCTGAATCCACGTACGACGACCACTTGAGAAATGACGAATGTTTTGTATGACAGCTGTTATTCCAATACATTGCAAATAAATTATGCACGTAATATTGAACATGCTGTCTGCCGTATAAGTCGACCAAGCCGGTTTAGATTCACCAACATCCTAATTCACTTCTCAATTAGGTAAACTTTTCTAGATCAGTGATCATCATTTAATCGAAACCATATTATAGAGTAGGATTTCATATGTGGAGTTATAGCACCCATCGAACAGCTTAGGTCCTTGGAAAATTTATCTGCTGCAATCTCTAATCCGTGTGCCACAATTCCTCCTAGAGAGGTGCTAGCCAGCGACGCTCATCTCTGGCGGAAGGGATTCAAACTTTGTTTCCAAGAATCACACCGGATAATGAATGATGCTGCCAAGTCAGTCCTTTAATTTTTTTGTATTTCTTTTTAATGTTGTTGGAGCCTGAAATCAGTAAATAACACCTGCTAAAAAATGGAGGTGGTCGGAGACTCCCTCACGTTGTCTCGATAGGATATGCTTGAGGAGGATCCTACAAATGCCAGACTAACGTTACTTCTGCCACCATATGCTGAGAATAAATTTAACTTAGTATTAGATGATCATTTTTCAGTAATAAATTTAACATAGTAATATATATAAGTAGTATTTTAAATATTAAATTAATGGTGGTGCATTAAACCAATTTATTATAGGTTTAATATCGAAGTTTTATCTAATATATTTTTAAAAAGTACTAGTTAGCTTAGCTAATAAATATTTTATGATGTATCACAATATCTTGGGTTAGAATTTTGCCGCTAGTCGTTAAAAAATAATATATAAAATACTTCATCTACTAATTGGACGGGCTGCTGCACCGGTCCTTAGAATCTTGCCTTCACGAATAAGTAGGTGGTACTGTTCGTTGCTTCTCCCTCCCCTCCCTCAACTTGCCCATATTTATAGTGCATGGAGAGGTCGGCCACGCACTTGATGGTTGGCTTGGGTGGATAAGAGCTGCCATAAACATCCACGAGCTGAGCGTGGAATTGTTTTTAGTTAGTTTCAAGTTGTCATATCTATAAGTAAAATGATTACAGATTCCCAAACAAATACAGTACTGTTGTAGACAAGTAATTAATATTGATTTCACGCGCAACGCGCCGATGCACGTCGAGTTCCCGTCCCCACCGTTCCAATAGTCTTTGGCTGCTCTTATCCACCCAAGCCAACCATCACATGGTGCGCGGATCTCCATGCACTGTAAATATGGCTAATGGGAGGGGGTGTGGTACGAGCAACGAGCAGTACTGACTCATACAGACATAGGTCGTGTGTGATAGAGATCTAAACAATGGGCAGAGGAGGAGTCAGAAGAGTTACTGAAGCCTCTCTTCTTCTTCTTCTTCTTCGTCTTCTTCCTCGTTTTCTTCCTATGCTGATGCTGGCCTTCGTCGCCACCAATTCAGCAGCTGCCCGTACCTACCCGATGCAGTATTATATATATATATAGTTTTTGCTAAGACGTTATGATATATTGTCAAAGTCTTTGCTAAGTTAACTGATGCTTTTAAAAATATATGGTATGTTTTAAACTCTCGAACTTTAATAAGTGAAATTGGTATAATATATTATCACTAGATTAATATTTTTGTTTTAATAAATCATGTGTCAGATAAAGTTATTAATGATATAAAATTAATCCATCGATGAAACCTATATTGTTTCGGACTCTAAGAGCTATGCTCATCGAACGACTTCAAGTAGTATAGTTATCGCCATTCAATAACTTACAAATCAAGATTATCCTTAGATGATCTGAGTGAGTACTCAATAAAAGAAAACAAAATTCAAGATTCGATCCTTTGAAGAAAAAAAGGTGAAGAAGGATCAAAAACCCAATATGTCGACTCCGAAAAGTAAGGAAGATCAAGAAAAAGGTGCAAGATCCAATCTTTTTCCAAGAAAAGGTGAGACAACGACTCCAAGAACCGATCAAGCATCGTCATGGCTGGAAATCTTTGGGAGACTTTTTAATAGATTGCTCTAATCGATCCATATCTATGGCTTCGTGTTGAGAATTAATTCATAATAGTTATCTAAGTAGTTATCATGTTCTAAGTAGTTATAGGCATGTTTTAAGAAATGACCCATGATCTAGAAGTTATAGGATAGTTCAAACACCTAACTCAATTATAGGTGATATGATACAGTGACCTAGTTATCTCTAGTTCATATAAATAGGATCATAGTTCATGTAGTAAGATATAAGGAGAATACACTTGAGAATATCTTATAAGTGTTTTATGTCAATCCTCTTATTTTAAATACTATATCAGTTTTCTTGATCGAAAGGATTCTTTTTACTTGCATCATAGTATTATGTTTTTATCAATTTCTTGCTCCTCCATCCCCAACAATTAGTAGGAGATGGGTAAGTGGGGAGATATGGGGAGGGTTCTCCGAGGGTCTTAGGGAGCCCAAGGGAAAAGTATGAGGGTTGATCCGTCGACATGGGAAGGGACAAAGGGAGTCGGGCGACAGGAATGCGATGAGGCTGCCAATTTGCCCTCGGTGGAAGGCAAGTGCCGCATGAGATGGTCATTCATCCCTGTTGTTGTCGTAGGATTTCGACACTAGCCGTCGCGTGTGATTTACTTACATATCAACAGGCACTTATATTTACATATCAATATATATTTATACTCACTACATACTATATCATCGTACAGTCACATCACCGCCTTTTTTCATAAGAATATCATTTCAGAAACAAGTAATCTCGGATTTCATCCAATATAAAATCACACTTTAAGTGATTATATCGTTCTTAAAAGAGAAATATATATTTTGCATCTACATATCACAAATAATTTACTTTTCCAATATCGTTCCATCAATTATTTTTAAAATAATAAATTCTAATACGCTTTTCAATACAAAATACCATACTTCTTTGCCTTCGTTGAAGTACGTTCTATAGGAAATATATATATGTTTCAGTCAAACTCGATCTAATCTACCCCATCATATCTTTCACGTACAACTCCAACAATATTGAATATGAAGTTAAAGTTTGAATTGAATTCCAACACTGATTTCTTTCCCGTCGCTGATAAGGAGCCATGCGAGCGTCGCGCGCGCTCTCTCTCTCTCTCTCTCTCTCGGAAGTCTGTCTTAGTTATGGATCCACAGGCGTGCGTCCTCGATACACCCAGGTGTTATCCGCCACTCCGCCACTGCTGTCCTACCCTCCACCGCCCATTGTGGTGTCCTCACCTAGCACTCTCCGGAGGTCATCGTGCACTGTCCTCTGGCCTGCGCACCTCCAGCCAAGCATGACGAACTTTTGCTCCATGACTCCCGGTAATCTGGTAGCATGCATGCATGCATGCTTCCTAGTGTTGTGATTAGGTTTCCTTCCCAGTCTTGGATTCTTGCATTAGGTTTAGTAGTAATACTTCCGAGCATCCTCGATCTTCTACTTCTGCAAGACAAATATTTATTTTGAGCGTGACATAAGATCGTATTATTATCCCATTTATTATTTTGATCAGCTCTTATCTTCTTGGAAGCATATTCTTGTTGTTGGAAATTTAATGCTTGAACTCAAATGAAACGTAACCTGTTCATCTTATTTTAAAAAAGTGAATAATTTTCCGAAACAAATATAATTCTAGCTATGATGTTCTCCGATGGTTTTCCTAAAACTTAACATTGGCAGTCCAATCAATCGATGGATTGATTTCTTTTAGAAACGAATCAATTAAATAATTGTGTCCATTTAACCTAATGGAATTTTATTATTATCTAACGATACCAAGAAAAATCACAGCATACGATAATAGCATGAGCAAACAATGATCGGAACATCAAGTTTGATTTGATAATTATATTTCCCCAAAAGCTATTGTTAGAGTCTGAGTAAGCTTGAAGTTGTAGGATTAGTGGTAACCCAATTGTAGTATCATGATTAATTATGAGTTTTATGTAAATGTTTTTGCTTAAAAATATAAAAAGATCAACATAAAATTAATATGGTTAATTAAATTACATTAATATAAATCAATATAATTCCTAGTGATTATATTATATGTCTACAAGAATTTGACTATAATATTGGAGCAAAAAATGATCCTGAAACATTTTCACAAGCCATGAATTGCAAAGAGTCTCATTTGTGGCATGATGCCATGAAAGAATAGATGAATTCCATGATTAGAAATAGAGTCTGGGATATTGTAGAGTTGTCTAATAAAGCAAAGGCTATTGGTTACAAACGGGTCTTTAAAACTAAGAAAGATTCGTTAGACAACTTTGAGAGATAGAAGGCAAGACTTATTGCAAAGGGATTTATTTTAAAAGAGGGAATCGATTATACATAAACGTTTTCTCATGTATTTAAAAAAGATTATTTTCGTATCATTTTGACATTAGTTGCTCATTTTGACCTTGAATTGCAACAAACGGATGTGAAAATAATATTTCTTAATGGAGATCTAGAGGAAGAGGTATATATGAAACAATCTAAAGGTTTCTCCTTTAGTGTTGGTAAACACTTGGTTTGTAAGCTTAAGAAGTCTATATACGGTTTAAAACAAGCCTCCCGCTAATGGTATTTTAAATTCTATGAAATGATTTCTTGATTTAAATTTGTTGAAAATCTCATAGATTAATGTATATACCAGAAGGTCAGTGGGAGTAAAATATGTTTTCTTGTTTTATACGTAGATGGTATTTGTTGAAAATCTCATTGTGAAACATGATATGTTCAATTTGAACCAATGCCTAAAGAACAACTTTGAAAAGGAATCAATGAAAAACATCTCATATGCTTTCGCCGTAGGAAGCCTTATGTATGCTCAGGTCTGTACTAGACCTGATATTGTATTTATTGTGGGAATGCTAGGTCAATATCAGAGTAATCCAGGTATGGACCACTAGAGAGCTGCAAAGAAAGTGATGAGGTATTTACAAGGAACCAAAGATTATATGCTTATGTATAAACATATAGGCAATCTAGATGTAATTGGTTACTTAGATTCAGACTTCGTTGGTTGTGTTGATTCTCATAAATCAACATCAGGATATATTTTTATGATGGCTAGTGGAGCTATTTCTTGGAGAAGCTCTAAGCAGACCTTGATTGCTACTTCTATTATGAAGCTGAGTTTGTCTCATATTTTGAGACTACTTCACATGGTGTATAGCTTAAGAATTTCATTTTTGGGCTTAGAATTATGGATTCTATTTCTAGGCTCTTAAGAATTTTCTGTGATAATTCAACTACTGTTTTTATAACTAAAAACAATAAAAGTGTAAGTCGAATTAAATACATCGATATTAAGTATTTAGCCATAAAAGAACGTGTAAAAGAAAAGAAAGTGATCATTGAGCATATTAGCATTGAATTGATATTGCTGATCCTTTAACTGAAGGTATGCCACCTTTGAAATTCAAGAATTATGTAAAGAAAATGGGACTTGGTTCCACTTTGTAATGATATTGAAACTCTTATATATTGTGATATTTTTTAATTCATGTGTATATTATTTTGAGAAAATATATTGTTACTAGACCAAGAATAAACATAAGGTTTATTCATTAAGTAATATTACCACATTAAGATTAAGAAACTAAATACATCGTGATACATGGATGATAATAATCGCTCTTAGAGGACTTATCGCTATGATTCATATATTTATTTCTTAAGAAAGTTGTTCGATAAAGATTAATTTAAATTATTAAGCTAAACGTATGGATCAAATGGGAGAATGTAATCGTTCTCGTTAAGATTCCTTCATTCATGATAATGAATTCCTTCATTTATAATAGTTTAAATGTTTTAGTTTTTTATTCATTATAAATGAAATCGTTATTATTAAATTAAATATTTAATATCATTAAAATTCTTCATTATGGTCCAAACGTTATAATTTTAAATTAATTCTTGAACGTTATGAGTTGGTGATAATAAATATTCTTGATGGGAGAACATCTATATAAATGAGGATTTTGGTTCCTAGGCTCAACATCTTTTTGAAGTCAAAAGGATTTCCTACACCATCTAAAGTAAGAGTTCTGAGTCGAGAAGTGCCAAAGTTCAAGAAGAAATCGCTGTAGAAATTCTTGATAACAATGGCTAGAGGTACGCTATTTTGTTTCTACATTAGTTTTATTGTGTTTCTATTATAATAATTTAGAAACACAAGTTGATATCAAAGATTTCTATATATTTTTAAAAGCATCAATTAACTTTATAAAGATTTTGATAATATACCATAACATCTTAAGCTCGAATCTTATTTTTATCATTGATCCTTACATATATATATATATATATATATATATATATATATATATATACTACATCTAAGCAAGGGATTGCACACGAGGGTAAGAACGGGCTGCTGATGAGTTGGTGGAGAAGGAGTGCATAGGAAGAAAAAGAAAGACAGTACGTCTTCTGCTTTCTCTAGCCATTTTTGGCTCTCTATCACACACGACGACCTATGTATGTGCGAATCGGTACTGTTTGTTGCTTCTCCCTCCCCTTTCCATTTGAAGGGTGGGGACGTGCATCCGCGCGTTGCGCGTGTAATCATTTTTAATTACTCGTCTACAACAGTACTGTATTTTTAATTAAAGAATTTTCCATGTGCATCGCGCGGATGCATTTATATTAGATTATAGGGGACAGATTAATGCACCGACGCACCTTCACCGTATCTGGTGCTGCAACTGTTATCTGTCTATCGTTGTTCCATGTTCAAGTGTAAGTGTACTGTTGAGAGAGAGAGAGAGAGAGAGAGAGAGATGACACTCTTGAGCTCTTGAATCCTGCATCCATTATTTATTCTCATGAACACATATATCCGGTTTAATGAAGTCACATGCATTTATGGGACTATAAATGGCTCGAGCATTGTGGCACTATAAATAGGAGAGGAGGAGGGAGGAGGGAATACGCACTACCTCCTACTTACTTGCACAGGTACGTTGTGATAGAAAGCTCAGTGGTAAGCAATGGCTGGAGGAGGCAAAAGTGGTGCAGCGTCGTCTCTTCTACTTGTGACGCTGCTCGTGACGTTGTTGGCCTTCTTCGCCACCGACGCCTCGGCTGCCCGTGTCACACCCCGTCAGCAATCCCTCGCCAGAGGTAGGTAGATAAATATGTCTGGGAACGTGTATGTGTTTGGGCTGGTGATCGAGGCATCGTTAATCCCGTCTTCATGCTACAGCGGCACTGAGTGCGTTGGGAGCAAGGTCAGATGGGCCGTGCTGCAGATGCATGTGTCCTATGATTTACCCAACTCCTTTTTGCGTTTGCGTCGGCGTATGGCAAGGCTCCTGCCCTTCCGCATGCACCAACTGCCAGTGTGTCCTCAACAAGTGCACTTGCATTGACCATGTGGACCCCAAGGCCTGCAAGGCCGACTCCTGTCCCTGGCTTGATGCAGCCCCCGAAGTAGAGCCGTCGCAGCAGTGGGCGATCGAAGAAACCGGTGGGAAATTAGCGATGATGGTGTGATCCAATTGTGTTTTTGTTCGCCTGTTATTTCTGTTATCTTCTCTTTATCCGTCCTATCTATCCCTCCATCCATCTATGTCGTGTGTTGTTGCTTTGCTTCAGTAATAAAATGCTTCTGCTTTTATCGTGACGGATGCAGCGTTAGCATATAAAGAGCTCTATTTATATTTCATCTTTATTTACATTATATTTCATCAGTCTTGACATATCAATATCGAGATAAAAATTTTAAGTTGAAAAAAAAGAGAAAAAAAAATTGAGATTGAAATATATATTTTTAAATGAATAAAAAAAATGAATTTTTAAATAAAATAGAATTTTTTAATATTTTTTTTTTTTAAAATCCATATTTCCGCATGGCGACATACAACTCGCATGGGTTCTCACAATTGCATTCAATATCTGGTATCTGTATCCTATCGCAACATGACATGCTTCTTCTATCTCACTCTTCAAAACTTAAGGGAGAGTGTCTTATCCACTTATTCCTATCTGTCTTAGCACCATTCAATATGTTTTCTGATTTTACAAGATGCATTCCTACTATGTCAATGTTTTGTTCATACCATATAAGGTGTTTTTATATCTTCTCATATAAAAAGAATATTATCTCAAGAACCATTCGTTCAATTTGCCAGATTATAACAAATATGTTACCATTTTCAGAATCAATCGGTGCTCAGATTTACAATAAGATCTTGATGAAACCATACTTTGCTCATAGATAGGCTTCTTATCACTTTTGCATTAATGTCTTGCCTTCAACAAGTCTTTCTTCAACCATCTATGATGCCTCAGATTGGATCAGATGGTTGTCGACAAAGATAGTTCTGATGTACACTATTCTTCCTTAGTCCATACACTTTAAGAAGGACAAGTTCTAATATACCTTCTACCTCTACCTCTACCTCTACCTCTACCTCTATAGAGATTAAAGGATTTGTCCCCCCTAGTCCTCTCTATTGGAGGGAGCATGGTGAGGAGGCATTGCCCCCTCTCACCTCAAAGAGGAGGATACATATGGGCATGTGAGCAAATGTAGCTTCCTAATATATATATGGGAATGCCTCTAAGATGGGACTTTGATTTTCACTCCTAATAGTAGGATGTTTTATTGATTCTAATATTAGTTATGAAAGACTTAATTCATCAGCTTGATAAATTAATTTTTTTATCGAGTAAATAAATAGATATTTGAGTTGACTTGATATGAAAAATATTGTTTTGACTATTTTGAAGGCTTAAAAGATGTATGAATAAATAGATAAACAAAATCTCATTAGAAGAAGGTTGAAATTGAACTGAAGGCTATGATTAAACTAAAATTGAGTCTTGCCGGTGATAGTATTACTACTTATTAACATCGTTTCGACTAAATGATAGTAGTATTGCCGGGAGAAAACAAGCCAAGTGAAGAAAATAGGAAAAGAAAATTAAGGAAGAAAATAAAAGGAGAAAAAGCAAATAGTATTATCAAATAGGTTAGATGTCAATTTAGACCATGCATGGAAATATATTAGGACTCTAAAATTTTGTTTTATATTTGGATAATAAGTTCATTCTTTCAATAACTCTATAAAAGGACAAACTACCTTGATTTTATAATCTACAAAATATCATAAGTACTATATGACTTTGCCTATTTTATTTTCAAAGAATCATATGTATTTATAAAGTTAGTATTAATGAATATTTATTAGTTATATAAAGTATTTATTTGTTCTAGTTATTGAAAGTATTATATGGTTTCTTACAAAATAAGATATATAATCAATTGCTTATAGGTTATGTTATGTAATCCTCATTTTCCCAAGCCCTAACATAAGAACAAGTATATTACCTACGTACGTCGTAAGAGTTAAATATGGTTCTACGTCTTATTACGAGGATAGAGCCTGACTAAATCAAATAATATTATTAGGACTTTTAATGTCTCCTTAGCTATGTTTATGCATTTATATGACTTTTGTAAAATTATGTATGCTGAATGGCCTATTAAAAGCTTATTTTTATGTATTATCTAACATGCTATGATTTGCAAAACGTATAAAGTATATAATCTTCTATACATAAGCAAGTACACGTTTTGAAAGGAAATGTTAAATTATTAGAATTTATTTATTTTGTGTTACTTATGTTATGTGACTAATTTTCTTCGTGAATCAATCATATAGCTTAAATTTTTCTCTCTTTGGGTGAAAATTTTTAGTGTCTTAGGATTAAACTATTTTGGTAGAGAATTAGTTGCCTCAGATTAACGAGAAAAATTTGTGTTTTATTCACTTGATTAGTATTCTCATATGATGATGCATTGCAGGTACAAATGATCAATGAGCATCTATCAATTAAAGGCCTGTAACTCTCAGATAAGTTACAGCAATTCCTATAGATCTGTACCACAACAGGAAGAACTGTCAAATGAAGATCCCAAAGAAAGCTCTTCCGGATTGATACATAGCAGGTGATAGCGATTGCTCATGCAGTTTCTCCCGCTGCTTAGGAAGAACACTCATCTTAATCGTCAGCCTCAATAATGAACATAACCACCACCGTGATATCGTCTTTCTTGCCTCCTTTTCGGCGCTTTCCTGCCTTTCTACATGCTATAGAGAAGGGTGTTTCTTTCGTTCTTCTGAGTGAGTTGCGTTGGGCTTCATCAGCAATAAGACTAGCTATACGTTCTGCACTTAGATTGAGCACCAATCCGGATTTTATCAGTCGAACCACCTCGCTGTCGAACAGGTTGTCGAATACCCCATCTGTGGCTACAACAATGATGTCTCCTGGTTCAACTCCCATCGACTTTACCTGTTTCAGGAGCAATGAAGTGGAGAGCAAATATGATAAGAGTCAAATCTTGACGCTTACAACAAGAGGTTATGTCAAGAGTCAAATCTTGGTAATCCAATACTTACAACATGCAATTATTAGGCTTAGGTTTGAAAGATGAAAGAAATTGGAAGATTTCCCAGAGTTGCAACATGCACTTAGGCTTAGGTTAAGAAGATGAATCTTACAGCAAAATGTTTGAGAGAAATACAACTACAATTATCTGTGAACTCTCCCTGCCCAAATTAAACTACAAATGTCATGCTTGCAACTGTACTAACCTCTGCATCATTTAGCGTTTCGCCAGAGTTTTGGAGTTGATATGGCGTGTTAAAACCTCTTTGTTGTGCGGGAGAATGGTACAATACGGCATCATCTCTAACCACCAAAAAGCCGCTATCGCCAATATTCACTGTATGAATGTACTGCAAACCAAAAAACAATGCCATTGACCTACTGAGCTAGTTTGTGTTCTAAGACATATAATCCAATAGCTAAGTTTAATAGTCGATGCTATATTTGATTGCATGCAATAAGAAGAATAAAAAACCTGGCCTTTGAGTGCCATGATGCAAGCAGTGGAGGCTCCCAATGCATTTGTCAGGGCATGAGCTGTTGCCAGGACCTGGAAAGGATCAACGCAACCTTCAGGTGATGCACGAACCGCTTGCTCCGCACGAGACATGAGCTCTCGAGCATATTCTCCGGCATCGATGCCTAACTTGGCCCATCCGCCGACGCCATCTGCTACACCGACGACTTGCTCATGCTCACATATGAAGTGAGCGTCTTCTCCTTTCAATTTTCTCATATGTGGTATGTAATATGATCCTGCCTTCATCTTCAGTGGCGTCCTCTTTTCAACTGCTTCGTGACTTCTGTAGACAAGAAGTGAATGGCACATCAGAAACTACACATAAGAGAGAAGCTTATTCTTCACCTTTCTACGTACCTGCACCTCTGTTCCTGTGTTTCGGTGGGCAACTCCGGATCTTGAGCAGTAGACAAGGATGCACTGTCATCGTTATGGTACTCTGGGCTGTCTTCCTTCGTGGCGATCGCATCTTGACTGCTGTAGTCAATTAAATGATACATCAAAATCAAAACCCAAATTTTGATGGAAGACGTAAGTCAGATGAACTTGTTCTTTGAATTATGCGTGCCTGCACTGCTCTTTACAGGTAGATGACGGCTCCTCTGTTTCTGTGAGCAGCGTTAGATCTTGAGCAGTGGAAGAAGACGAAGGGCCATTGCTTGGGTATTCTGCATTGTCTTCCTTCATGGCGACCGTATCTTGACTTCTGTAGTCAAGACCGCAATGATACATCAAATTCGCAAAGGAGAACGAAAACAGAGTCCAAGAAGGTTGCTCTTTCCATTCTACGTACCCGCATTTCTCTCTATAGGTGGACGACGACTGGTCCTTTGTTTCGATGAGAAACTCCGGACTGCGAGCAGTGGAAGAAGAAGATGAAGGATCACCGTTTTGGTGTTCAGGGTTCTCTTCCTTCATGTCCGGAGAACGGAGGGCAGGATGAAGACGTGTCTTTCTGGGTTTTCGTGGACGGCGTTGATGAGAGACCATGGAGGTGCTGCAGGTGTTTTATAGAGCGGGGACGAGGGCGTAGTTGTTGAAGCCAACAAGGAGTCGGAAGTGGCTGGTGGTTTCAGATTGCTTTGGGAGTAGAATACCTTATCATAGATTGAATTATAAGATTGTGATGGATACACTTATTATCAACATCTATCATATTAACCATCCCCTGCAGTAAGTTTATTTTTATAATAATCATACCTTTAAGTTGGATTATGTCTTATCATAAACCCTAAGCCTAGAAAAATAAGATCATATATATATATATATCATGATTAGTAATTAGAGTTCACCTATTTAGTATTACTGATTTGGTCATGTGATTAATTTCACTCGTTATTCATTCAATCATATACATGCATTGCAGGTACAAAGAATTAATGAGAATCGATCGATTGAAAGCCTGAAACAGTGCCTTTAGATTTGTACCACAACAGGAAGAACTGTCAAACGAAGATCCCAAAGAAAGCTCTTCCAGAATGATATATGGCAGGTGATGGCAATTGCTCATGCAGTTTCTTCCGGTGCTTTGGAAGAACACTTATCTAATTCGTCAGCCTCAAGAATGCACATAACCACCACCGTGATATCGTCTTTCTTGCCTCCTTTTCGGGGATTTCCTGCCTTTCTACATGCTATAGAGAAGGGTGTTTCTTTCGTTCTTCTGATTGAGTTGCGTCGGGCTTCATCAGCAATAAGATTAGCCATACGTTCTGCACTTACACTGAGCGCCAATCTGGGTTTTATAACTCGAATCACCTCTCTGTCGAACAGGTTGTCGAAGACCCCATCGGTGCCTACAACAATAATGTCTCCTGGTTCAACTCCGATCGACTTTATCTGTTTCAGGTGCAATGAAGTGGAGAGTAAATGTGAATCTTGATGCTTACAATAAGAGGTCATGTTAAGAAGTTAATAGATGATTGTGTCCCCACTGTTCTTGGTAATGCAGGTACTTACGACATGCAATTATTAGGTTTAGGTTGAAAAGATGAAAGAAATCGGCAGATCTCCCAGAGTTGCAATAGGCAATTAGGGTTAGGTTGAAAAGATGAAACTTATAACAAAATGTTTGAGAAATAGATTCTGTGAAATCTCCCTGTCCAAATTTAACTACAAATCATGTTTGCAACTGTGCTAACCTCTGCATCATTTAGCGTTTCGCCTCCAGATTTTTGGAGTTGATATGGCCTGTTAAATCTTAGTTGTTGGGTTGGAGAATGGTAGAATACTTCATTATTTCTGACCACCAAAAAGCCACTATCGCCAATATTCACCGTATGAATGTACTGCGATCCAAGAAACAATAGTTTGTGACCGAAGACGCGCAATCCAATAGCGAAGTTGAACTGTCAAATGCCATAACTGATTGCATGCAATAAGAAGAATCGAAAACCTGGTCTTTGAGTGCTACGATGCAAGCAGTGGAGGATCCCAAGGCATTTGTGCGAGCATGAGCTGTTGCCAGCACCTGGTGAGGATCAACACAACCTTCAGGTGATGCACGAACCGCTTTCTCGGCATGAGACATGAGCTCTCGAGCATATTCTCCGGCGTCGACGCCTAACTTGGCCCATCCGCCGACGCCATCTGCTACGCCGACGACTTGCTCATGCTCGCATACGAAGTGAGCGTCGTCTCCTATCAATTTTGTCTTCTGTGGTATGTAGCATGATCCGGCCTTCATCTTCAGTGGCCTCCTCTTGCCGACTGCATCGTGACTTCTGTAGACAAGAAGTCTGACGGTACATCAGAAACTACACATAAGAGAGAAGCTTATTCTTCACCTTTCTACGTACCTGCACCTCTGTTCCTGTGTTTCGGAGGGCAACTCTGGATCTTGAGCGGTAGGCGTGGATGCAGTATCATTGTTGTGGTACTCTGGGTTATCTCCCTTCATGAAGGAAGATCGAAACCCAAAATCGAAATCCAACATTAGACGGAAATCCCAACTCAGACAAGCTTGTTCTTTGAATTCTACGTGCCGGCATTCCTCTTCACAGGTTGATGATGGCCCCTTTGTTTCTTGGTGCAACTTTAGATCTCGAGCGGTAGAAGAAGACGAAGGACCATTATTTGGGTACTCGGCGGTGCCTTCCTTCATGGCGACCGCATCTCGACTTCTGCAGGCATGACCGCAATGAGACACCAAATTCGCGAAGTAGGACAGGAACCGAGTACAAGAAGCTTGCACTTTGCTTTCTGCGTCTCTGCACTTCTCTCTAGAGGCGGAGGACGACGGGTCCTTTGTTCCAGTGAGAATCTCCGAATCACGAGCGGTGGAAGAAGAAGAAGAAGAAGAAGAAGCATGATCACCGTTAATGTGTTCAGGGTCGTCTTCCTTCATGTTGGAGGATGGAGGGGAGGAAGAAGGCTCGTCTTCCTGGATATCTGGGTTTTCGAGACTGTGGAGGTGCCGCAGGCGTTCCATAAAGCAGGAACGAGGGCATAGTTTCCCTGCAGGTGCTGCATTGAATTGTTTCCTTAGCCAAATTACACGCATAAGCTGCCATATTATTATTGTTGGCAATGATTGTTATCAGACTTGTGTTCCAATCATCCCTGGTTTGATCCGATCATCCGTTTAATCAATTAATATACATGATTGAGGAGAGGAGAAGAGGCTGTACTTCCATCTAATTATATATTATCGCTTATAATTAATTATTTTTACCATTCTGATTTTTATATTTTAAAAAATCATATTAAGATATCTATATTTACGAAAGTAAAACATTGAGACCCCTATAAAAGAGTTAAAAGAAATAAATTTAAAATATTAAAAAAAATCAAGAAAGAGAAGTTTTATTGGAGTAACTGAATTAAATGTTTCATTTTTATAAGTATAAGGATATCAATATAATATTTTAAAAAATATAAGGACTAAGATACTAAAAATACTAATTATAAAGATAATTTATAATTAACCCGGTAGGGTATAAGGGAGAAATTGTTTTGTTGATACTAATATCACTATTATTATCTATCATATAACTATTTCACCATAAGTACATGTTATTATCTTGGCATGAACCTAAGAGACACAATGATGTGGTACCATTTTAATTTATTTTTATTTAAATATCATAAGTTGTAATATTATATTTTAAGTTTAGTTTCTTAAATTACTCAGGGAGAAAATAAAAATAAAAATAAAAAAACAAATGCAAAAAAAGGAAGAAATAAATTTTTGGTTTTGATTGGAGATTTCATCTGCAAAAGGAATATCACATCTCTGATTAAGATCTACCAATTGTATATATCATAAAAAAAAAAAATTATTTTAAATTAAATATATAAATATCGTACCGAAATTTCATTTTGAAACATAGACATCTTATAAATAGACATCCAGCAATTCGCTAACTAAATCAAATTTTATTTATGATAAATTCAAATATTTGATTCATTACATCTAATAACCGAGTAAAATATTTATTATAGTTGAATTCTTAATAAAAATAACAAAGACTAAAATAGATGCCTATGATAAATAAATAAATAAATAATTCAACACAAATTGATTGGGAATCTTGTGAAAATCAAAACAAGATAAAAAACTAGTAGTTATCTTCTTTTTCCTATTGTATTTTTATTACATTTTTTTCTCTCTTTTCAATAAGAAAAAATCACTATTTATCCACAAGTTATTTTGTGTCAAAATTTTGTAAGCATAAAAACCACTGTTATGCATAAAAATTTGATGTTAAGAACTAAAATCAAATAATAACGGATCAAGATCAGAATTTTATACCTTTCGATGTCATTTAAAATTTTTTTATTTGATCAATAATCCGACGAATAATTAACCATGAACGTTGTAAGATAACACAAGATGAATTAAACGTTATAATTTAGTAAATCTATAATCTTATTGTTATATATTGTCACGTGGAGGTTTAAAATTCGTTTGTACTTTTTTTATATCGATTAATAATTATAATCAAATAAAACTATATAATCTAAAAAAACGTCCAAAAGATTGAACTTTAATTCCATGTCGTATCATCCGACTTCGTTGAGCAAAATCAACCAGTAAATTGTGTATGATCTTTCTCATCTTAATTGTTAGATCATGAACCTTTCTTTCCCCACTGCTTACAATCATAAATTACTCTGTTTCTTTTTCTTAACAGGTAGATTGCCCTGTTTGATTACAACAAAGTGCCATGAGATAGATAGATAGATACATCAGCAGTGCCCACCGAGAATGTGTCGATGCCTTCTCCAAGTCGGGGCAACTTTGAAGGCCATCATCATTCACGCAGCTCTCGTCAACTTTCCCAAAAGTAATCGTAGAATATTGAGCCAATCAGTCATGGCAGGCAACTTTCCCTTTGCTAGAGAGTCACCGCGCAGACCATATCTTTCGCTGGTGTAAGCCCTCTGCAGTCTTCCCTCATCTTCTTCTTTGCGGCTTCAGCAATCTCAAACAGCCACTGGGAGTAGGGGAGAGATACATGGAGCCACCAACTTCCCAGGTGATGTCAAGCAGAGACGACCCCCAAGATCAAATCATCAACGCAGGGTAAGCATCACGCCTGCAGATTCCTTTGCTGGTTGTTGTCGTGTTGTCGGCTTACTGTTCTGCTGCAGTTGTTCCTGCTGCTATGACTGCCTGACGAGCTGCTTCGACTACATCTGCTGCTACTGCCTCTGGGACTGCTAGGCTTGGCAGAGAGTGAACCCATGGCCCGACTCATCATCTCGTTCTTTGTGCTTGCGCTCTTTCTCCCCGTCACAGTGAAGATGGAGTGAGTGGGTTCATCCATACCCATGCAATCTTCTGTGTTTTCCGCAACGGTAACCGCTACAAGTCATCATCCGTTTCTTTGGTGTTTTAGCTGATAGAACAGTGAAGTGGGATGAACAGGAGATCACTGCTCTGTTGGCTGAGGCATCATGTACCCATTGCTCTTTAGTTTCCCGAAAGCATCTCTGATGTCAAACTCGGCAAAAGACTTTATTCTCTTAATTACTAGCTAATTATATATATATATATATATAATCTTATGTAATTTATAATTTTAAAAATTATAACAATATTCTTATAGATATAAAAATAAAATATCTAGATTCATTTATCTTAACAACATCAGTTTTACTAACGAAATTAAAAGGTAAAATAATAATTTTAATACTTCAACTAATACTAACGGACGAAGTTGATGATGACAAAGGGTCGTTGACCCTTTGACAATTGTGTCGGTATCGACGTAGATACAAAGCAATATTCACCTCTTGTTGTTTTTTTAATCTACAACAATCACACATCGACATTGTCTCTCATCTCATGTTAAAATTATTTTTTTATCTTTTATTTTTATATTTTCGTTAATAAAATCGATCGTATTATGGTAAATGAATCTAAATATTATATTTTCGTAGTTATAAAGAAGTGAATATAACTTTTTAAAATATAGGGATCGAGGTACTAAATATAAATAAATTATTATGAATAATATATAATTAGCCCTTACTTGCTAATCCTAATTATGTTTCGTTATCCTCGTAATGTTAACTTAGTGTGCTTTATGGGTATGCAATCGTTTGACAATGGCAACCGTAACTATTACTACTAAGTGGCCGTTTGCGCCATTGAATCCTATGGAGGGCTTCAAACTCGCAGACATGACTTCTTATCGGAAGGCTTCACCTATAAATGTTGCGACTAAAAGAATCGATTAGACCGAGTGACATGGAAAGGAGACTAATGAAAACCTTAATAAAAACAACAAAAGGAGATTATAATATTCTTAATTCAACTAAAAAATATTATCTCACATAAAGCTCTCGATGAAATGAGTCGAGACATCGAGGTTTACTGAATGTTGTACCATCTCAATGACACCACCTCCTGGATGAGACTGGTTTCTTAAATTTCTGGGACACAGATAAATGTTGATTTAGCTCCTCCCGAATCATTTGTTCATCGACTGCCGAGCTAAGAAAGAAGGATGTCTCTATTTTTTGCTATTATAACGTTCCTCGCCTCGGATTGCAAACACCACCATCTTTATGTCAGTCATAGAAACAACCTCCCAAGAATACTTACACAGGCTTCGAGCTCACGGTTTACCTTTCTACGACTCTTATATTCTTTCGTCTAGCTTTGGTCTGAAATGTTCAGAAGAAAATGATGCTACAGAGTATCAACTCAACCCAAGATCCCAATGTTTCTCTGCCAGTTCAACGGAGCACTGGAACACACGGAAGCTGCAATAGCAATCCAAAATGGTCAATCATGAGCAATTCAAAAGTAAGCATTCACTAGCTGCGTTCAAGTTCTTGAAACATATCATAAACAGCTAAGGGAATTCCTTGTCGATCCAGACCGATCAAAGAAAAGAAAAAGAGAACTTGAACATTAACAACAGAGCATTCACACAGTGCCGTGCATGTCATTTTTAGAAATATTACTCAATAATTCTCTTATTGAATCATAATCATACTCACAGCTGGTAAATCTTTGAGGTTAAATACAAGATAATAAGATATTAACATTCGGTCAAGAAAAGGTTGCAAAATGTTTAGTTAACTTTACCAAACAGTTGAATTATTTGCCAGCTCTATACACTTGGACTAATACTATGGGTTTGGCAAATAACACAAAACTGAAATCCATCAGTCAAGTATGGAAGCAGAGAAAATTGTTGTCGTCGTGCACACTTCTATATCTGGTCATCCTGTTGAAGGTGCTCCAAGTCTACATATCCTGCAACGTACCCTGGTGTTTGCAGTGTAGTGTGTTGATCAGATGCAGCACGGTTCATGTGATTGCACAACCAAGTGAGAATGACTCCACTGAAGGAGCAAAATGCAAAAATTTACTGATGCAGTAGTCACTGCATGTCGATCACCAACTAATCATCAGTCTACTCCAAATTCATAGTCTAGCAAGTGAGTAGAGTTTGATAAGGAAAACTAAAAGACCAACAAACATATGTTGCACTTCAAACCCCAACAAGGCCTTGACAACTTGAATTTCTGAAGCATAGATGACAAAAATAGTTTATTTCAACCGACACAGTATATTCCAGAAAACATTAACGAGAAACTCAAAATCACCCAAAACAGTTTACATGATTGATCATCATTGACAGTGCATAAAGACCAGAAACAAAAACTTGTAGGTTGCCTTTTTCTCTTAAATAAGCAAAAACAGACGTGGACGACTGTTGACATTACCCATATGCCAGATGCTCTAGCGAAAGTAAAATGAAAATTCTGCAATGCCCGCAAGGTTATAGGCATAATACAATCCTAAGAAATCTAGATTATTTAGAAACAAAGATAATTGTGAAGTTTCATATCATGTGTAGAAAACTGTTTATTTTGTATTATCTTGCTACGATATGAAAGAAGGACCATTGCCCCCTCAGTGTTACAGAATATTCCTAGCTTGCTCACAGTTTCCATACTGACTGGTTACAAAACAGGTTTTCCAGATCTATCTTCATGGGCCAAGTGACTGATCTTGCACAATTCCTTGTCCTTATCACCAGAAGCTGGTTGGGACTCAGCTGGACTCATTGGCTGATTCCAACCAATTTGTCAACCTTAAGAAAAAAGAAAATAAAAAAAATATGAGGCAGAGCCATGGATCGCAATCATAGGAGGGGAGGGAAAAGGAGAGACAGTCGGACAAAATCTGTAACTAAAGTGGTGGACATATTGATATTGTCATGTGTAGATAAAAAGGTATGAATAAAAAGGGAGATAGAGAGCAAGGTGTAGATAAAAAGGGAAATGGAGAAAAGGTTGCTCCTAGTCTCTTGAGGGAATAGAGGAAAATCATGGGACCATGACTGTGATCTCAGAGAAAGAACTCCTAAATCCAATGCTTCACCTGTCTGGTGATTAAATGGGTACCAGGGCCATAGCGAGGAGTTTTTTTTTTATATATATATGTTGCATATATAATAATTGATTAATGTTTACTTTCATAACAAATATATAATTGTAATTTTCTTTATTAACTCTTCACCGTTATTTTTCATTAAACTGTGACAAGCATTTGGATGTTTGGTTATCAATGATAGGAATCGACCAAAGCCACATCCACATCAGTTTTTGCAAGTAGCAAAATTTGGATACATGGAGGGTGACAAATATAGATCAATATTTCCATGACCATATCCCGACTTCATTTGAATAAAATAAAGTACTCTGGTTGGAGTATTTCATCATACTTTCACCCTTACTGTTATTTATATATTTTCCTAAAGGTAACTTAATTGACTGACACTAGTATATAAATGAAATTTCAGACAGCTGCCTACTTTTGAGCATCAAGTTTTCCCATAATGTTTATTAAAGTAATTATTAAATCATATGCACATCAAGTAACTGAATAAAACCATTTAACAAAACAGAAGCTAGACTCAAAACATAATTGATTTTCAATTAATTTCCACAAGAATAAGACTGCTGTGCCAATATTTGGATTCTCCATAGCCAACATTTAAAAACAGCAAAACACCATTTTTTGATAAATAATAAACTATTCCTAATATCTCAAAATCTTAGGACCATAAGCAGGGTGCAAGTTACCTTTGCATCCAGAATGAGCAAAATGATAGCATCTTGTATAGCAACAACCTAAGCTGGTAGCTTCAATCGATTGAAGAATAACAAGAAGTGAGACTCTGGTGCCCAGTACACAAAACCAATAACGGGCCCCCCTCTAATGTACTGCCAAAACATGATGTTTCATGAAATAAAAATAATAACAATAATAATAATTTCAAAACATTCACAAAGTGTTAAATAATGAATATCAAACCAGTATCTCGATAGACAAATCAATACCTTTCCATCAAAAATCACAAGCTCACCATCAACCCATCGAGGATTCCGAAACCCAGGATCAGCGAGCCTCCCTTGTCCCTTATATCTAGCAATCTGATTTGCAAATAAAACTCAGTCCTATCTGAACGATTAAGCGGTCAAAGATTGAAAAATATATATTAGAAATGTACCACTCCAAATTCTTCAGGGATAATGCCCTTATGAGGAAGCTGATTTTGCTTGCCAACCTTTGCACGGAAAGCAACCTGTTGAATCCACGGACATACAGTAGCAACTTAACACCTCCATTGATTCCAGAACCAGTAACAAGTACAAAGTGCCAATTACAGTTAAATCAAAGCCAAAACCAAAAGAAGACTGGGGGAGAGGCAAGCAACCCAATTCACAGAAACAAAATTACCTGGAACCATTGAACCAAAGACAACCAAAGAAAGAGAGGTGACAGAAGCTAAAGGATTAAGTAGAGGGAAAGGCAAGCAACCCAATTCACAAGGGGGAATGCACCGACAAATGGTTTTCACTTGCCACTTGTTGGCCTGTCACCTTCATAGTTCATTCCAATAACATGCAGCAGATGATATATGATCCTTGCATTTATCTGCCAAGATTCAATCTCTAGATCGACAATATACTGCATGCTCTTATCACATATCTTCTCTATACCTCCTATTTTGCACTCAACAAATCCTTCTAAATCTTTTCCACTGGTCTACCAAATTCCATTTGGTAAAGTTCTAAATTAAATCAATACCATGTATTCTCATGTCAAACCAGGGTTCTCAATTTCGATATGTACTGTCCGGGACGAGCAGTATGTACCGGTCCGAGAGAATACTGGAACGCGGACCGTCCTCCACTAGACAGTACCAATGTTTTGACCAGTACCGAGGCATAACGATCGGTACCACCCCAGATTTCGATCGTTACCAAGGCATACCGATCGGTATACCCTGGCGTGATAGGCGAAGGTATTTTTAAGGTTTTAGGATGTACCATCAGTACACCCTAGTGTATCGACAATATATATCGGTACGTACCGTACCGAGCAGAGCTCGGTACGCTGATTCGGATCAGTATTCAAAACCCTGTGTCAAACCATCTAACACCCAACAGATACATAAAGTAAGCAAAGGATTCTTCATGAGGAGCCATAAATCAATCCTTGATTTCATTTCTCAAAAGCCAAAATCAGTCACGACTATGTTCTCTATCAAATTGTATCACCCCACGCCCAAACAGTCAGTCATGATTCACCAGCCATTGATTGATATATAACCCGACACAGCTCCAATGTTGAGGATTAAATTGATTTAACAGTCATAACTGGTACATGAGAATAAAAACCATAAATTAGGCAACATTAACTGCATGAAAACCCAGTTTAACAATGGTTACATAGAGTCATAGACTTCATTTGAAGTTGATCATGTAATTGGTCAATATTTATGCACTCTTCATAAAATCAGCATATATAATTGACTACCAAGGATGCTCACACACTTTTTATTTATCCTAATTCCTAAGATCATTTTGTTACCACCTTATGATAGAATCCAACTCATAGTTCGGAAGGACAAACCAACTACTACATAGGAAGGTCTTAGCAACAATGTGATGTTATTTCATTCTTATATAAATGAATATCCTTCATAACTGCCAATATCAACATTTACACAAATAGCTATGTTCAAGAAACTTATACAAGAGTTCAATTTTTGGCCATGCTACTGGTAACTATTTTATGGCATCAAATTTACACTAAGGCCTGGCCAATTTTTGGTCCACATCAGCCAGGCAAAGGGTCATGTTCAGTCATACCTTTCTAGCAAAGCTTTAAATTTACAACCTTAAAACTTGTGTACAACAAATTGTCACAATGGAAGGTTATTATAGTTCTGCTTCAGCAAGGTCTGAAGTAGGTAGTGTTTCATGGGCTTTCATGCCTTTACGCACAAAAAGTGTTAGCGAATCAGACACTTATCAGACTCTTTAACTAGACTATTCGAATATAAAATAACATGGCAATATAGGAAGTGGATCTTTTATAACTCTTAAGGCTTCTTATAAACTTAAAATCACCACTTTACTTCTCTAACACTAAAATATATGTATATCTTGGTTTTTTTTGTAATTACTTTTCTTATCTACATTGTCTCCTTGCCTCGTCAGATACTTCAATAAGCATCCATATTAATTTCTCATGTCCATGCACTAGGAGTACCAAAGTTTTTTGTGATGATTGAGCACAAAAATATGTTTAAATACTAAAAAATATATTGATAACTATTAAATAGTAACATGAATTTTGGAAATCTGTAAACAACAATTGAGGTAGCTGTATTAACGTCTAGAAGAAACCTGGCATAAATAAGGTGAATTTGCAGCATGGTTTTTAATTTCGATGTGTACCGCCCGCTATGGGTGGTACATATCGGTCCGAGAGCCTCTCTGCACGTGGATCAGTGATTTAAAAAGGCGCTCGGGCGCTCGCCTAGGTGCTCGGGCGAGGCGAGGCGAGGCCCGAGCACCTCGCTTCATTTCCAGGAGGCGTGCTTCAAAGAGGCGCTGGGCGCTTCGGGCGAGCGCCTGGGTTAAACTAGGCGACCGAACTAGCGTTTGAGGTCTGGTTCGGTCTCCGGTGCTTTAGTTGGTTCGATCGAACCAACTAAAGCACCAATATCAGCGTGACTTCCCCAACCTTAACCCTGCTCGCCGTTCACACTACTGCCATCGCTGCTCGTTGCTACCGCTGTCGCTCCCAATGTCGCCACTCCCGCTGCTACCGTTGTCACTGTCTCCGCTCGCCGCTTCCGCTTCCGCTCCCGCTCCCGCTATTGCTGCCGCTGCTACCGTTGTCACTGTCTCCGCTCGCCGCTTCCGCTTCCGCTCCCGCTCCCGCTATTGCTGCCGCTGCTACCGTTGCCACTGTCTTCGCTCGCCGCTTCCGCTCCCACTCCCGCTCCTGCCGGTGCCACTGTCGCTGCTGCTGCTCGCTGCTGCCGTTGCCACTGTCGTCGCTCGCAGCTACCGCTCTCGCTCTTCTCAGTCAACACCCTCAGTCTTCCGACTCTTCCCTTACACTCTTCTCCTCTTTCGATAGTATACAGTTAACAGTATACTGTATACCGTTAACTATATACTAGTAATAGTATTTATATTTATTAGATTAATTTAATAACATATTTTTATTTAAAAATTTAAATAATTATATTTATTAATTATATTATATATTTTTATATTTTAGCGTCTCACTTCGCTCGGGCGAGCGCTTGGGCGAGCGCTTAACGTCTCGGGCGTTTTTGGACCTTGGCGCCTTTTGGCGCTTAGCGCTTTTTAAATCACTGACGTGAATCACCTGCTACCGAACAGTACCAAATTTTTTGCCCCGTATCGAGCGATAGATGGCTGTATCGAGCAGTAACGTTCCAAAATTTTGACCGTTACTGACATGTATCAAGCGGTAGCAATCGATTTCAACTATTACCGACCTTTTAGCTATTTTAGCTATTTATACCTAAAAACACTAATACAATATGTATTAGTGTTTTCAGTTATTTTAGGCGTACCGCTCAATACGCATCCGTATGTACTGTACCGAGCAAGGCTAGGTACGCTGGTTCAGACGAAAATTGCAAACCTTGATTTGTAGATTTCAACTCATGAAAGAATTAACAGAACTATGCAAAGATTAAACTTCTTTAAGTCTTCCATTTCCATAGTCAGCTGCTGGAACTTAAAGCCACAAGTTCAGAACTACCTGACCAGCTGGTACAGAAGGATCACCAGTCAGTTTAATTGCTTCAACATATTCATAAAATTCTAAATTCATTTTCCCCTGAGTATAATCCTCTTGCCACTGACCATACTTGCGCTTTAGATGGAGTACATTAGAGCTGTACATTCCATGTGAGCCAATATATAGTCCTGCCATAAAATTATGAATGTAATTTAATATAAATTGTCAGAATATCACAAAAACCCATTAAAATAAGCAACATGAAGAAATAGGATTCTGCAGTTCCCATTATTTACTATTAAATGTAACAACTGAATGATGTTAATGCAAAGTAGAATACCACTTAGGGGATCTGAAGTCAAAGGTATCTCAATATGGCTGAAGACTGTTGCTTCAAGTAAAGAATGATAGTTCTGTCTGTTATTGACACTGTAATTAAGTAGTTCCTGAAGATCTTTAAGTACCTGCAGCATCAGTTGAGTATAAGATTGATTAACAGCTCCACAGTTGAAAATATCAGTTACAATCAATTAGATGTTAATTTCATGCCCATCTGCAAAAATCATTATTCCATCAGAATATGATCAGATATAGCAAATGCTGCAAAAGATGGGAGTCTGTTACAGCCAGACCAACATTGTCTCTTATTACCTTGGAAAAGCCAAATATGAACCAATTTTACAAACAAAGAACATCATTTTGGTGGCTACTCATAAGAATGAAATTTTATGATATAGTGTGCCTACTGGTCCAAGAGTATTGTCATTGTTATAGATAGTCCATAACAGCTGCTATAGCAATCTATGGTGTTAGGGGCAATGCTGTTTAATTACTTCAAACTCCATCAAGGGACTCCATAGAAGACATTATTGTGGGTCCCAATAGTGCTGTAACCAACATATTTATATAGATTAATTAAAGAATGCTCCAACAGACAAATTAAATCTAATCTCAGATTTTTGAACCCATACAATAGATTAAAAGAACCCCAAGAAAATTCATTTTTTAGATTTTTTATCAATATCTAGATAAAGAGGTCTAACTTCTACTTTACCTTAGCATATCAAAACCCTCTTTTTAGCTAGCAAATGACATTGGGTCACCTACCCCACTGCCCAAATTGCTCTCCAACATCCATAATGTTCCTTCTTGCTCTATCTAACTTGGGTGCTCTCTCTCTTTATACATCTCTCTTTCTCCCTCGCGCTCTACCTGTAGCATTCACTCTCCTTGCTTCATTCTCATTGATCAAATTGTGTTCTGTTGCAGTAATGTGCAGTTTCTAGTATTATACGTCACATATTTAAGATCATATAGTAAGATTGTGGATGATAAAGCCACAATTTAAGATCATATATCTGTTTAAGATCATATATCTCTTTGATAGCACATCCAGACCACCTTATGAAAAATATTTTGTTGTGACAATATGAATATTTGGTGCTTGGTCCTTGTCTGCAATGTACATTATTGACCCCTAACACTGCATTGATTGTCGATGATCATGCCACAATTGATATGATGATATTGAATAACATATCAACCTTACAAGAAACTTTTGCCATAGACTCTATGTCAATAATTCAATGTCTGGGTCTCCGCAATAATACATGACTTCTCTTAATAGTACATAGTATGAAGTTATATAAGTGATTCATATTGGGCGTATAATTGCTTGCTATCCTACCAGTCTGCCACTACATACCCACTACACCGTTTTTAGTCAGTGCATGAATTTCTCATCTTAGAAACATGATTATTATAAATCATAAATTGTCATCCAGGTCTCCTGTTAATCCTTAAATTGATATAAAGGAAAGGAGGCTTTTACATATCTATACTCTCAAAGTTTGGAAATACTGAAATAGCATATTTGCCGTACAAATTTTGATATGGCATACATCTCTCTCCCCAAAAATCCAAATCCTTCACATATCCCCAGCCAATTAGCATAAATCCAGAAAAACATAAGTTAAACACAGCTAAACGAAGCTAACAATAGATAATTTGAGTTAAGAATGTATATTTAAAAAAAAACCTAAAATAAAACTAATGTTTTCAAAAGAGGAATATATATATGTACAATTTTAGTTTGAGATTGAATTTCATACACCAACCACAAAGAGCCCTATTCCAAAACCAAACTAGAGACCTTACAAAAATTATTAGTAAGTCCATCAAGTTAATTTTAATATTGCGACTATAAGCAAGGTTCAATGCATGAGGTTCCAGCCAATGCAACCATAAGACATTTCCATGACCTGATGTACTGGACGACAAAATCACATAGTGACCTTCCATAGTGCCAAGCCACACCAAGTTGATTTCCATATTCCAATAAACACTAATAAATTTCAAGTGCTGGTGCATTTCAAAATAAATCATGATATCTTGGTCACAGAAAAAGGCTATAGAGTTTTAGACAGATCAAGTTGCTTATAGAACTACAGAAACTATAAAGAGATATACAGGCAGTAGAACCACAAATTACATAGCTTTCTTGTTGGTATATTAGGTGATGCATGATCGTTAATACAATTACAGCAACATAAACAAAAAAATTATTAATTAAATCTAATTTACAAGAAAAACATGTCCAGAGTGAATTCTATAGCATTTAATCTGTAAAGTTGTTGAAATAACTGTTTTTGAGTACACAGGAAAGGAGGAAAAAGATATATGCTAACCTTCAAATGTATCTTCTCTGTGTTAGGGATCACCTTAGCAAGTTCAGACGAAAGAAGATCAGCACTCTGCCGAGCAAAGGCTTTTCTCTTTAGAGTCTGTCTTTTTTCATCAATTCCACTTCTCATAACATCTTGCTCTAAAATGATTGAAAAGGACATGTGATCTCTTTTCTCTAGCCTTGCTGGAACACGAACTAAATTTGTGGGTGGTACATCAGCAGACAGCTTTGGTGTTAGACCACTGATTACAACTTTCAGTGATACCTCACTTTTCGCTTCACGTTTACTAGTAGAATCTCCAGAATCCATTTCAATGTCTTCAATGTCATGCTCGGCACCAAAGTCATCTGACTCTAGACTTTCTAGCTCTTCATCACTACCATCTTCCTCACTACTTTCTTCCTCTTCCTCCATAATTTGTTCAACAACTTTGGCAATTAGATCTCTGTCTACTTTCCCAGGTGACACCAGCTTTAAGACCCTGACCTTGACACCAGGTATTAAATCTCGTAAAATGTTTTGTATAGTAGTAATTCCATCAGTGACATTTGTATCATCATCCTTTCCTTCAATTGTCTTTACATCTTCAGCATGTAAAGTGTTTTCTCCTTTCGAACTGTCAGATGAGTTTAAGTTGCTAAGACCTGATTTTTTCTCGAATTTCTTTGTCAAGTCTCCAGAATTTTCATTCTGTTTCAAATATGCCACCTGAAAAAGCATGCGTCATCTTTCAGCCAGCAAAGGGACAACAAACAAGAAACTATGAAACTAAATATGATTAAAGAAGAAAAGATACATAACCAGAAACTTGACAAACTCTTACTGATATGAAAAGACTTAGAAATATTCTATATTCTGACAAAGATCTAATGTGCTGTTTAGTTTCGCATAAAAGATCACTTAACATTGACTTGGCCAGAGAAAGAAAGGGTGAGGGAGGGAGGAGAGCTGAATTATATAATACTCCACCTGAACAAAAAGGATAGATGAACTTTATCGCAATATGCACTCAATATAATGTTGTTTTGAATTGTTTCAGCTAGAAGTTTATCCCCTCTTGCATGAATAACAAAATTGATTGTTCTTGCACAAGTTAAAAGTAAAGATTTTGTAATGCACCTGTTGCTTGTATCCTCCATTGGTCCTGGTGAAAAAAACTTCAAATAGAGGAAAACCTGGTCTACCACTGGCTAGCTGTCTGCAAGATAAAAATGAAGGAACAAATACTTAAAATTAACAAATAATATTGGAGATACCGATATATAGGCAATATTTAAAAGGTATAACATATTTACTTGATCATTAAATTAACAAGTCATATTAGGTGCGAAAATAAGCTACTGAATCTTGTTGGAGGAACAAGCAAAGCTCTCAAGGCTCAACAAACAGCTGCCTTGCCATAATGAAAACTTAATTGAACTTAAAATACTCATGTTAATGCGGCTCAGATAGCCAAGCTAACAAATTCTGGGACAATGTAACCATGGTTCGCCTTACCGGTCTATACCAGTGTACTGACCAACTGTTGGTATAATATGTACCGAGCTGTACTGAGCATACCGACATGGTACAAGGGGCGTAGTGATGTACCACCCATACCGGTCTCATGTCAAACTAGTACGTACCACCTGTACCAAGCGGTATGCCATGATATGGCAAACCTTGAGTGTAACTAGCTCCTAATGTTAAAGAAGGACCATATTTAGATCATTTACGAGAAGTTGAAAATGCTTGGAAAGTTATGGAGCCATTTCCCCTAGCAAATTTTTGTTAGCACGAGGATCTGAACTGTCATGCTCCATGCCAGCTTCCCTGTTTTAAGAGGGAAAACCCAATTTCCTCAAATAATTTCATTAAATGGTTTTCAGTTTTTCTTCAATTCACAAGGCAGACTTGGCTGATGTTTTTCTTGCATTTATATTATTGTAACCAAAGTTTTAAATCCCAGCCAGATGCTGATACTAACAGATGGTCGGACCATACAATACTGACAAAAGATCACCATATCAACACTCGGTGTGGGTCCGTACTGTCCAAACCAAAAAGAAATAGGCTGAGAAGAGAAAAGGAAGAAGATGATGAGGAGGAGGAGAGGGCACCATGCATAGAAATTAGAAGGCACCAGCAGTGACCTGAGGAAGCACCAGCATTGAGGGGAGAAAGAGGCGTTGGCTGTGGTGACGTGAGGACGAGGTGCTGATGGCAGTGACATGAGGAGAAGACACCAGCAGCAGTGATGTGAGGGGATGGCCATGGCAGCAACAGGAGAGATGATGCCTCAGGCAAAATTTCCTATTTCACATGCCGGGCCCCCATTGTACCATTCAATATCAGGCAGTATGCCAACTTTTAGATCCTTGGTTTTTAACATAAAAAATGTTCTTAACATCCAGTCAGTGATAATACAAAATAACAGCTAAGGAAGAGTAGCTTGAACTCGGTAGAAAGAGGTGCATAAGCTTGGTCCATCAGTATCCTTCAAGAACCTAAGTACCATCAAAATATGCTCAGTTGTATGTATTATACAAGTACTGATACTGCCCTCAACAAAGCTAAATGTGAGAGTCTCCATACACTCGATCAAGAGAAATCAAATCACACTGATCTTTCAGTTTTTCAATAAATTAGAATTTTAATACTCATTTCACATTGATTCCTTGATGAATTCTGAGATGTTCATGAGATAAATTATACATCTTTACATAGCTTATTAAGTTAGTTATTCGAAGCATTTTACGTAATTCAATTTTCTTAAGAAAATTATATTCAGTTCTCTCAACAAAGGTTATGGTGGTAAAAGTTCTTCTTACTTTAGGAGTGAGTTCCTAGATGACTTTTAGTTATTCTATAAGTAGTTAATTATTTCTTTATTTATTTTGATCTAAAAATGGCAAAGAATCAATCACTCATTCTTGGAGGGTTGTTCCAAGCCTACCACTATAAAGACCATATCTCAAAAGTCTTGAAGGCATAGAGTGATTTTGAACAAGGTAGGCCTTACTGATCCGTACCGATGTATCGACCAACCATCGGCATGGTATGTACTGAGGCATATCAAAGTTAGATTACCGATGGCATGGTAAAATTACCGAAATTAGATTAAAAATACCTAAAAATAGAAAAAAAGTTAGATTAGGCTTGTTAAGTTGGAAATATATATAAATTTAATATAATTTTAGCAAAAAATAATCTAAATTAGGAAAGAATAGTGATATATCTTTTTTGAGCTTTGAGAAGTAATTTTATGATACATTCTGAACTGTCCTTCAATTAGTATTAAATTATCTATAAAGAAATGATTTGAATTGTTAGATTTTTTTAAACAACTTAAATTTTAAGATTCAAATGAATCAAGTAATCAATCAATGGATATACCTGGTTCTACCATCCACAAGTGGTGGATCGGGATCCTCGATCCTATGTATTTACATATTAGTTTGATATGCTTGTCGAACCCAATCCTGAAATTGATCTTATGACATAGTATACCGATACACCGTATGTCATTGGTGCATCAATACGATGATGGTCGTAGTTTGATGGTCGTGAACCACATGTGCCCGAGGCGGCTTCTGAGACAAGGACAATTGTGACACGTATTGGTATGGAGCATGGAGAATGTCAGAATTTTTAATTTCGCTACAAATCTATTGCTCCATATCATATAATCATCATCGTACTACTGCTCGAAAAAGTATGACCAACTAATATCGTACTATTGTTGGCCGTAAGATTCTCCATAATACGACATCTCTGAATACGATTAGCTTGGCTCTATGCCTACGTTATGTAGATTCTATCGCATCTACTCAAAAGCATCCATTGCTTTCCCATTCCCCTTTTGTATATAAACTTAACCAGTACCTCGTCGAGCCCCATGATCTGAATCTTGGGTGGCATGTGTAAAATATTGCTCCTCGGCCCATGCATTGCCCTTAAATTGTATAGATGGAACCATCGACTACCCAACGTCGCCACCATCATTAGTCGAAGCACTACAATCCACATTGCTGCCATGTCTCTGGACTGAGAGGGTTGTTGAATGCGATTAAGGTGTCTCATCGCCCAACTCGATTCTTTTCAACAGTGCGGTTGATGCTAGCGTCTTTCCCTTTGCCTTTACACACTAGGCGAGTGAAATGAGTTGAAGAGATTGAGAGAGTAAAATGGGTTAAAAGAGGGGGGAGGAAATGGTTTAAAAACCCTTTCTTATAGTTCAAACGATCAAATTGATCATTTGAAATAAGGCAATATAAGCCCTTGATCGATAACGATCGAAATCCGACCAATACAAGTCAGTAACGATTATATTTGGATTGTTACCGATCGGTACAAACCCCATATCGCCCAATACAAGATTATATAATGGTACCGCTTGGTATAGGGCGGTCCGTATATCGATCCCCTATCGAACCGATACAAATCGCTCATACTTTGCAATACAGCTCGGTATGACAAACCCTGATTTTGAATGAAAGAATAGTTTCTTGAGAGGTCTTTGTCCATTAGATTCAGAGTTGTATCTCTTCGGTGGATTCCCCGAAGTGGTGAGTTCTTAGGTCCTATATCCCTAATTAGACTCTTCGGTGTTAATATTTGTATCTCTTGGGTGTTTTCCTTGGGTGTGTTACTTGCGCAGTGAGCTTGTAATCTTCCCTTCTATCCCAATTTCCACTTAGTTCCTCACCATCCCAAATTCAAATGGCAGGAAAAGATCTATCTAGTAGTTGTTATTTATTGTTGCATGTATTTCAAATTTAATATATATATAAAATACTTCCACTCCACATGACTATTTGATCCTTACAACCACAAGTGTCATCCATGATCTATTTTTCTATAGTTGCAATTTTACAAGTTTTAATTGTCATACAAAAATTTAATTAAACCAATAATAACTAATGCACCCATAACAAAAGAAGCACAAATATAGTCATCAATTCACGAGTCAGGGAACTAAACAAATCTGGAAGCAAGTAATACACCTGGGGCTGTAACTTCTTGCAACATATCTTCCATACTCAGCACTTATATGTATAATTCGACCATATGGATCAGCACCATCTTCTGAAAAACCTGACCACCAGCCAACCTGCATGTCTTCCCAAACACATCAATTTCACTGAAGCAAAAGTACAAAGTGGGAAAAGAAACCATTGTTACTTATCACTAGGATATCAGAAAACTTTCTTAAAATACAAAAGCCACTTTTGTAACCCCCAAAAAAATCAAAATAACTCCCTTCCAATCAGCATCATACACTAAGCCAAATGAACATCAGTGCTAGTGGTCTGACAAGTTCAAAGACAATATACAATATTTTTTACATATAATTGTTAAAACAATCACCATAAAGCAAATACTTTGCCAACAAGCCTTTTCAAATCATCAAAAAAATTTCTTAACTAAATCATCTTCAGTTGATATGCAAAAGTTAAACATCATTAAATTAAATTAAATGGACTTTACCAGCAAGAATATGTTGCGAAGCTATTCAACCTTGAACTGGGCTCAGGCAATGGCCAACGTGAGCCTAGCCAGTATAGGGCTGTTCATCCTATTTTTTGGGAAAATATAAAATGTCAGTCTCATTTCCAGTGCCATCGACCACCATGGAGGACTTAGGTGATGGTATGGCAGCTTTTTCAACACTTGAATCAATCCTTGTCTAGAGAAGCTGAAGACTATAGAGAAAACTTCAGAAAGACTTCAAACGACCAGCGAAGGCTCCTTAAACCAATATCCAAGTGAATTAAAGCAGTGTTACAGCATCCTAAATAGATTGGCAGACTTCTAAGACTCCTAAATCATCCAGAAATGGCAAGGAGAATGACAGTCTAACATAGGACTGCCTTCCTCATTCCGAACAGGTGAGGAGAGGGCAGTACTGCAGCAATACAACTCAGAAATTGTAGCACAGTCTCAAATGCTATTTTTTTTATTTCTTATGTATAAAGTAGAGAAATCTAGAGTATTTATATTTCAACTTAGTGTATAGGACTTGGGCATTGGAAGCATAATAGAAAGATATGATTGAAATTTCTCAGGCTCATGCTTGGACACTCCTTTATGCTCATTAAGTTTGACACATTAGTGGCAATCTTTCTTTGGAAGATCTTGAGGGGTTCCACCTTAAATTGAAAAAACACATATTAAGAAGATCCTTCTAATGAAAAATTCGTAGATAATTTGATTATTACCAAAGGCAAAACCTACATAAACATACAATAGTTAACCTTATTATTCTCTCACTAATAAAGGTACTAGATTGCACAAACTGTTACTAGTCAAGTCACCAAACATTATCCATTCACTTAGATTCTTCAAGCACTAAATCTTTCTTTATAACTTGACTGGCCATGTGCCATGGGATAGACTTATCTAAATTCTTTTCAAATATGCCATCTGGACAATTCTGATTGACTTTGAGTTCAGTCAGAAACTTCAAAAGAGACATGTCATCCACTAGAAAAAGCAACCATAATTATTATTTTGGACAGCTTATTCAATCCAAGAATACTCCCACTCTCACCATTTGTTGCACAATGTAACTCCTGAAGTCAAAGAAAACCTGAAATAAAACTGCAAGTAAACCAAAGAGACAGCACAGGCACTGAACAGCAGTTTAAGAGATGTGTGTTTGGCCCTTTTTGTAGTCAACCTCATCTGAGTGCTGGACCAATTTATAGACTGTTACTTGCATATTATCAGAAATGACAGTAAAAAAATTGCATAGATTGACGACACATTGTCTAATCAGACTTGATGACAAAACATATTTACTACCTTTGTAACAATAATTGGACAAAGCTTCATCACTAAATCAATTGCTGAAGTAATAGATATTTAAGAATTTAAAAGAAATGTATACAAGTTAACCGACCAGTCCTGCCCCAGCATGGTCACGAATGTGAGCTGCACCATTGTAATTCTCTTCCTCTATAGCTCTCTGCAGCAACAACACTATTAAGAAAAAAATAAGCTTAAACATGATAAACACACAAGACAAATATCTTACATTCATAGTGGATATTGCTGTCCCAACAATATCATTTTCTGTAGCACCAGCAATAGCCAACTTCAGCTTTACAGCATCTTCATACTCCTCTTTAGCAATAGCATCATTTAACTGTGACTGAAACAAAACCATCATAGGGAATGGAACTATTAGAATAATTCCAAAAATATCATGCTCAAAATGATTCAAACAAACTTCATTAAGCAAAAAGACATTATGTTTTGTAAAGTTGTCGACAACATAGTTAGAAGTTAAAAAAAAAACATCTGCAGAGACTAAAACCAACAAAATAATATTTTCACAAAAGTTTGAATATGGACCTTAATATTATTGCAAGATCTGAATATCCCATAATTTGAAGATCGCAGTAATGAGGCGGGAGCTATATACTACCTTGTAGCTCTCATCTTAAGATTCCCAGTTTGAATGTCGGACTAACAACTAATGCAATTCTAAACTACTGATTACATCAGAATATTCCCTATCTATCAAGTAAGTACAAATAAAGAAGTAGCAACTGGGATGTATCATGCATAACTGAGTTTAATGACAATTATCAGCTTTAATCAAGGGCAACAAACTAATAAATATGCAGAAAAAGCAGGGACACTGTAAGCATTCTTGTCTGCACCAAATAACCTTTCATCATAAAGTATCCTTATCCTTTTGTCAAGGGTGATTTGAAACACATCAACACCTAAAAGGTAACCAATGCAACTACATATGCTGGGTTTATATGCATTGTAGGTTCAATCATTCTGTGGCATGTGATCATGAATGGATAAAGCACTTCCAACCAAGAAACTACTGTTGACAACACTTAAACCAACCAAACAAGTATGGCATATATAGTTAAAAAGGAACTAGCTCCATATTATGGGAGATTTAGACATAAAATTGTTAAACTGGTCAAACAACAGAAATATTTCTTTACAATAAGATTCTTACGAATGTCAAATACATCATCTTCTCCATGATGTAAACAATTTTCAACCAAAAAATTATTAGACAAAAATCAAACCAGCAAAACTGTGTGATTCATGGTAGAAGAAAGAACCAGCACCATAATTTGAGAGATATAGAAATATAAATGTCAAATTGATCATAATAGCTAATAATAACTTAATAATAGAATTCCTACGAGTACATCTGCTTCATGATGGTGCAAATGGTATACAGAAACAAGTGAAATTATTGGTTTTAACATCAACAATTTAAAGTTATCTAGCTCCTACTTTGTTAAATGTAATAGTATTTTCATCAATAAGCCCCAAACACAAACATAGTATGGTACTATATAGCAACAACCAGGTAATAATGAATAAATAAAGTAGTCCCAGTGCAAAAGGCTTCTGCCAAGATGGGATCTAGGAGGGTACTCTTACCTTTGCAGGTAAAGAATGTGTTTCCATGATGCGGAACTTTGTAACCAAGGTTACAAAGTTGCACCAACACTCACCCTCTAATAAGGTAATTATAACAACCAAGACATGATTTTATAACATTATCCTAAAGCAGTTATTATGCAAGCTTCAGATGCACTGCTGTCATTCCACTGAACAACCAAACCATATGCTTGCCACATTGGCAATTTACAATGTGCTTCACATCAAATGTCAAATTCTTCAATTTTTTCAATGAAACAATAGCAGATTAGAGTAATCAAATGGATGTGCCAATTGCCATTAAACCACCAAATCTCTTTTTTAAGAAAACTGAGGCTACTCCAAAGTGGGTGATTATTGCCTCACCAGGCTCAAGGCCCTTTTGGAGAAAGGTTCCCGAGTTTCTCCCTTACTTTAAAATGGTAAAATTAGTAGCAGACTCACTTTAAGATGGTAAAAAGAGTAGCAGTTTGCTGAAAATAATCCAAGTTGCAACCGCATATATAACTAGGACAAAAAATTTTCACTGCATCACAAGGAGAAAAATTTTAGATTCACATAAGGGGGTCATAAGGTTGCTTTTGTGGCAGAGACCAAATTTGAGTCACAAAAATAGTGTCTCCTCTTGCAGAGGCAAGGCTGCATACGTTGACTTTCAGACCCAACATCAGTAAGACTCATGCAACCGAATGCCCATTTTTTAAGTAAGAGAACAAAGTCAAAGAAACTCAAGCAATATAAGACTGTGGCTCAAGGATTACAATTTCAGTCACTACCAATGTACTGACCCTTGCTAAGTATGGTACGTACCGAGACGTATCAATGGTACATCGATACATCGATACACTCAAAATTATCAAAAACAACCTTCAAAAATATTTTAAAAATAGAAAAAAAAGTTAGATTAGGGTTTTTAAGTTAGAAATAAATATAAATTTAGTATAATTTTAGTAAAAATAATATAAATTGATCCAATATTGATCAAATTTTGATTAAATCATCGTTAAATTCACTAATCACAATATTAAGAAACTTAATTAAAACTTGATTAAACCTATTATACTATCCCAAACATATGATCCAATCCTTAATATGCATCAAATATAAAGATTTGACCTATTAAGTGTCTAATTTCGAAAAAAAATCAATATTAAACACACTAATCATAACATTAAAGACCTTAATTACTCCCTAATTAACATTATTCTATCATCAAAAACATATCAAACAACATATTAGACACTAAGTCATATACCACGTAGAATAGGCTTAACCATCTCATAAATCAATAAAAATATAGAAAGAGAATACATACCTCTGGATTAGAGTGTTTTTCCTCTTAATCCTCCCAAATTAGCATCCTAAAATTTGATCCAATGCATAAATCGTAGCTTTGTTGAGTTTAGGAGGGTGAAAATAAGAGAGAGATGAAAGCAAAAAAGAGTTTAAGAGAGTTTAAGAAATTGAGAGAGCGAAATGAGTTGAAAGAGAGGGAGAAAAGGATTTAAAAACCCTTTTTTAAGCTTCAAACAATCAAATTGACTGTTTAAATGGGGCAATCTCATATCTTGATCGGCAACGATCGAAATCCGATCGTTATCAACCAATACAAGTCGATAACGGTCGAAATCCGAGTGTACCGATTGTTACCAATCAGTACAAACCCGTATCGCCCGATACGGGTCAAGTGACTGGTACTGGTCGATAGATAGTGGTCGGTGTACCGGTATCCTATCGGACCGTGAAAGGACCGGTACCAGTCGGTATGCATTGGTACAGCAAACCCCGCTGTGGTTCAACTTCCATCACAAGTATCCACCTGAGCTCCAGAAGAAGTAATTCTACCCATGAAATGAATCCAGCAATAGGTAGATTACTCGACTTTGGTACTACCCTTAAAAGGACAACTTCAAAAGAGGAGATTTTACCTTTAAGATGGAGAGAAGCCTCTCCTGCTCCTCGATTTCCGTAAAATGCCGCTGCCACCTCTCCCAATCCCAATCCCCTCCATCCACCCCATTCTCCTCCTCCATAACCTTCTCCTCCTTACCCTCACCCTTCCCCGCTGCCGAGGCATCAACCGACGACCCATTCCTTGACCAAGAATTTCGGCACGCGGTCAAAAAGTCATCCCACCTCTTGGCGGCGCCACTAACGACGTCCCGGACCAGAGAATCCCAGCTTTCATGGGCGGAACAATCGTTCTGGGAGGAACCTTCTTCCTGCTCATCCGATGAATGGTTCTTCCGGCAGCGGCAGAGGAAATGGTCCGGGAGAGCCCTAGAACCGCCGGCAGGGGCCTTCTTGAGTCGGGGAAGGGCGCGCCGAGGGGGGCTCGAGAGCCAACTCGGTGTTTTGGTAGGGAATTTGGCAGCATTAGGGTCGGCGCGGGCGGAGGTCGACGAAGGCTGGAGGCAGGGAGAACGGATCGAAGCCATTCTACGTCGTGGAGAGGCGAAGGGATTAGGTTGAGCAGCGTTACGAGAGGACGGAAAGTCTCTCTTAACGCTGTCCACCAGACGTCTGCTATTAATTGCTGCAACGAGCGGTGTAAAATCCGACCCATTAGCCCAATACCCGAAACCGGAGGGCCCTGAACGGTGGCCTGTAATAAAGATCCGACCCGTTATCCCAACACCCGAATCCGGCACCTAACGGCAGACGTCTTCTCTTAATTCATACGATGTTAAGGTAGTGAAGGAAGCAATACATCTTAATTTTCTTTATTATTTTTCATACAATATTGCAATACTCGGCCTGTAAAACTTTCAATTCAGAAATAACTAAAGATGAATTTAAATGGGCCAAATAATTACCTGTTGTGGGCAAATTTGACTAAGCCAAATGCTGAAGAGAAGAGTTGGATCATCAATTTCGATTCAAATTTGAACAATGTGATAAAGACTGGACGATCAAAGACTCACAATTACAGATTCTTCTTCATCATCCAGATAGCAGTAGCCGTTTGATGATTTAGCTAAGGAAAGCCACAAAAGCACACAGCAAAACATAACACATGCCTTCAAAAGTACAGGATGCAGAGCCACTCAACACTGTGCTGACTTCTGCAAGCATCCCAACTAGGATGCACTACCAAAGACTAGTGATCTCTTAAAAGAAAAAAACAATTATGTTGATTAAATGTATAAGCCAGAATCTAACTGGTGCTAAAATAGATAAGCCTCAGTCAATTCAAACACAGTTGAATCAGATAGCACCTGCAGAAGTTAGACTCTCACTTTTGTTTGCATGATCAAGCTACAGAATTGGCAGATTCAGAAAGCATGCAATTTATAACTTCCTTTAATAAATGTACTGTTGCGGCGGAAACACAAAAAATATAAGTATGTACACAAAATATAACCTGCTGTGTCGTCTAATTAGCAATACTCAAAACCTTAACCGGAGACAAATCTATTTTCTTTTGCCTTTGCCCTTGCCTTTTTTCCTAGACTTCTTGTTTTCTTTATGTTTGCTTGCCTTGGTTTGACTGCTTGAAGAAGCCTCAGGTATTGCAACAGCTTCCCTCATGTTTGGATCACAACCTTGAGTGTTATCAATATCATTATCGTCATCGCTTGGAGATGCTTCCTTGGTTACAGCTTCCTTCTGTGGGATTAATTTGTCCATTAGATGTTCCAAGCTTGCTCTCAGCCCCTTCCACTTTGAATAGAGATCTGCTTTTGTTGGGCAGCCTTCTTGTGTTCCTTCAGACCTGGCAAAACCAAATAACGTTTAGAATGTCATACCGAAAAGTGTAATCAGAAATCAGAATCCTACTAAACTATTGCAACTCTTTTGTAGTGACTCGTTTAATTTTACCTTAGGATATGGCTTGCCACTCTAATTTGTTCGAGGATACATTAGTTATTCTTTAAGTCTAATTTGCATCTACAATTTCATTATAACTCCAAACCAATTTATATCCTAAAGTTGATTGTTTCATTTTTTTCATTTTTTTTGAAAAATGGCTTGGTGCACCAGATGTCATTAGTAACATAATCGTTCCATTAAAGATGTCAAAAACTTTCAAACAACTATTGAAATAAATATGTATGCAAAGATATAAAATGTTTGATCTTAAAATGACAAGTGATACTTTAAATAGCACGAGGGGTTCCAAGAAGCCAGTAATGTTAAGTTTGCAAAATCCATTGTATCGCTGAAAAGAATTACTGATACATGTGATTTACAACTGGAAAGGGAGGAGGATACCTTAAGAAATGAAACCGGAAGTTGTATGAAGTTTGCTTAAATTACCATAAAACTGAGTGCTGCTGATAGTGCCTAGCTGAGTAAACTAACATTCGAACAATGTAATGAGCCTACCAAAGAATGACATTAAGAATTATTCTGAAATAAAGAAATATTCTAGTTTTAACAGTAAGTAAATTGAAAACGAAGCAAATTAGGAGAAAAACAACACAAGAGAACATCATGTTGTACAAATTTCTAATTCCTAGTGTAGTTCTTAATTGTGGTGATGCCTCTAGAACAATTGATAGCCATCTGTTTAATACATCACCTCATTGTAGCAAGCAATTGGAGTTCAACATGCAAATTCCTCATTTCTGCCATCAAGTGCCCTTCAGAATCCTTCAATTGGTCTTTCTGTTTTATCCAATTCATTGTGGTGCCAAATATATTAATAGTATCCTCGACCTTTGATTTAACATCAAAAGTAAACACCATTAGTTCATAAGATAAACTCAATATGTATGAGGCAGTAAAAAAAATAGATAATATTAGCAACTCCCTTACATCATCATATTTCCCAGATAGAAATTCTTCAAGCTTCTGCCTGAAATGCTTGCATTGTTCTGCGAGTTCCTTACCAAATTCTCGGTCTCCAAGTCCTGGACCTTGATCTTTCTCATGTGAAACATTTGAAGGTATAGAGTCAACTTCCTGGTTTCTATTATTGGAAGGATCAATTACAATAGAGCCTTTTTCTATTGGTTTTCTTTCTGATTGTTTGCTCTGAAATATCATTTTCTTTTCTGGAAACAATAGGGCAAAAACTTTTTCTGTGCACCGTAAGTGCTCGGAGTTAATAGTCAAAGCATTCAAACTTGAGAGCATCACAGGACTTTCTGCAGAACAGACTATGACTAAAGAATTTCCCACCATTCGTAATGCCTCAGCAAATACTCCTATAAACTGAAAACTACCACCAGCTCCATAATTTTTTGCTTGGTGAAGAAGCTGCACTGAGAACGCCTTAGGCAAATCTTCATATATTTTATTCTCCGAAAGAAACCTCCCAATTGCATAAGTACTCCTTCCAGCATTCAAGTGAGTCAGATAAAGTATAATAACCAGTTTTAGTGCAAGTAGAGGATATGATTCCCTTCGCATGGAAGACTTGTTCATCCAGGCAAATAACTGATGTTTATCTCCTAGAAGGATTTTGATGGTTTCTATTATGTATCCGAGTGACAATTGGACAGTGTTCTGCGAGAGATCAGGGACTGAAGACAAGCAAGCCGTCATATAGCCCTTACAACCATGACATTTGATCATTTCAAGGAGAGAAGATTTTGTAGTAAAAAAATGTCCACCAAGACCCCGGCATGATGATGCAAAAAACGTTAGGCACTCAATAAGGTAGATAAAGCAGTGAGGCGACAGGTAATCAATCTCATTTTTCCAATATACGTTAAACGAACTTTGCAATGCGCTCTCAAAAGTGGATATTACAGGAAACCTTGCAAATCCGAAATTCAAAAAAGTTCTATATTGTTCAATAAAATCTCTCCAAGGTTGCATATTAGTCAAGCAGTTCATGATCATTTTGAACAATTCATCAGATAATTGTCCTGTGAGAAAGAGCAACATCACCAGCCTACCAATTTGCCCATGTGTCAGTTTACCATTCCTACGTTCTAGGATTCCAGTAAGGGAGACATCAATTATCTCCATAGCAGTCTTGTTTTCATGAAGAAATATCACATTTTCCATTGTGTCATTTCTCCAGTCTAATGGGAAAATTATGTCAAAGTACCAAGTTTGGGACAAATTGTAGTATCCATGTACCTTATTCATACTACTCTTATTCATACTACTTGCTGATGTTAATTCTGACTCAATAAGGAACTTGGCAACTTCATATATCCAAATGGCCATCCTCCCTCTGCAGAATGAATATAGATTCTTTTGCACATAAAAGTTATGCAGGGCTTGCAAACAATCAAGTAATTTCATACCAACTGAAAATAACTCAGTACTCCAATAACTTTTAGCACATGATATGCACTCGCTGGCACTCAACCAAACCAGGTTTTTTTTCTTTACTAGAGAAAATTTTACAGTATTTTTTACCCAATAGGCTTCTGGATTTTGGATAAAATACATGTTTTTTTCATCCAATGTTCTGACACCAAAATATTCAAGATAGAACTCTTCATACCTTGAGCCATCTTTGGTTAATTTAGGGTCATCAAGGTGGGACAGCAGATCCAGTATCACTGCTTTCCAAAGGTTCCAAGCATACATCATTGTATCAACAGAGAGGCACTTTTGAGATATAATATCATTCACATGCTTGTCAGAATCAAAGACTGAAACTTGTCCATGGAGAAATTTAAAGGGCTTCGATTCAATATGGACGTCAAGTATTGCTCGACTGCTAAATACTTCCTGTCTAAGGTTGCGGTGCTTTTGAGCCTCAACCAAGTGTCTTGACATGTCAGACAAGCTTTTCTCTCTATCTGATAATATATCTGCTTCCAGGAAAACATATTCCTGAAATGAACCTGACTTCCACTGTGCTAATTCTTTTGCTTTCATCAAATGGTTCTCCTTTTCTGCATATCTCTTCAGTGGCCACCCCTTGCTTCCAGATGACCAAAGTGAGCTCATAAGAACATGTAAAAGAAGCAACGTAGTTGCCTCCTCAAAACAGTTAGCTTTCTCAAGGATCTCTGCCTCTAATAACATATTTCCTTTGTTTCTTGCAATGCTTGCAGCCTCTATATAGTTTCCTAATTCTAGCTCCACAGTTAGCAAATCATCAATACGATTATTGGACTTCAAGAAATGATGAACTACATCCAGGAAACGCAGACGTACATCATTTGACTGGAAAGCTTTAACAAACATCATCATGCATTGAATACCTCCAAGCTCTAGATAGTGTTGGGCACAATTCTCCAGATAAGATGATATCATCTCATTCAGTTCATGCTTCTGTCTTCCATCAGCACAAGAAGCTTCATTCCATTGTTCAATAATTTCCAATCCTGTCTCAAAAATCCTCCCCTTGGAACAAACTAATAGGCATTCTGATAAGAATTTTCCTTTAGCATATGCATGAGCAGCATCAGTCCAACACTCTGCCATTGCAAAACAGTCCCCCGCATCTTTAAGCCTTGATATGCCACATTTCTCCATATAAATCATACCTGCATAAATGACGATCAAATAAAGAAAGGATAACACAAGTATATGATATTCATGAGGAAAGTTGAAGTTTTAGGAAATGTTGGAGTCTGGCATAAACATGT